GCATCAGCAGCATGGAGAGATCTTGAGGATCATTTCTCGCAAGGAAACGATTCCAGGATCTATCAAATTTGACAAGAAATTGCCGAACACCGACAAAGACAGCTATCTGTTTCAGATTATTACACAAAATTGAAAGCTCTCTGGGATGAATTAGCATCATATCATGGGCCCATTGCCTGTGAATGCGAGGGATCCAAGGCACATGCAGACAGGGAAGAAAAAGAGAAAGTAATGCAGTTCTTAATGGGTCTGAACGAGAGTTACTCAATCATACGAGGTTCTATCTTAATGATGAGCCCACTTCCAGATACACGACGAGTCCATGGATTGGTTCTTCAACATGAATGCCAATTGGATGTGGTAAATCGACGTGAACATATCGCCCATGCAATGCAAACCAGTCATTCGACAGCACCAAAACGAGGCTATGGTGCCAACAACCCTAATTCACGGAATATATTCAAATGCAGCTACTGTGACGGAGGACATCCAGTCGAACGTTGTTTTTTCCTTATTGGATTCCCTGAAGGACACAAATGGCACGGGAAGAATGTGCAGCCTAGAAATAGACGTGCACCTCCAACTTCCAACAATGTTGAAGCATTACCGTCACCAGCTACCAAAGCAACAACCTCCAACAAATTTGATGCAACGTTCACAACCGAGGAGTACAACCAACTCATGGCTCTCCTTCGCAATAAGAATGGTACCGATCTGCCCCTTGCACATGCAACAGGTATCTATACACCCAACTGTAATTTTGCATATTATGATCCAACATTGTATTAGATCGTGGATAGCAGGGCCACAGATCATGTTTCTCACTTATCACTCAGCCATAATCACACTAAAACCCAACATGATTTTGTTGGTTTACCAAATGGCGGACAAGTTGCGATTGAAACCATTGGGTCCATTAAATTGTCCCCCGAGATAACTCTTGATGGAGTTTTACATGTGCCACAATTTCATGTGAATTTGTTATCTGTGAGTAAGTTGACCTGGGCATTGAAGTGCATTGTGATATTTTACCCGGGTTTTTGTGTTGTGCAGGACATGGCTACGAAGAGGATGATTGGCCTAGGCAAGCAGTTTGATGGACTTTACTACCTCACTCCAACACAAAACCCTCATCTCGCTCACCATGTCAAACGTACCTCGGCATTTTGGCATCAACGTCTTGGGCACCCATCCTCGGCTCCCCTTCACTCTTTATCCTAGACTATCCAAGAAATTATCTTTGATTCTACACATGTTTGTGATGTTTGTCCTTTAGCAAAACAAACTCGTTCATCTTTTGTTTCCAGTTCAATAAAATCAGTTGCTCATTTTCATTTGATCCACTGTGATATTTGGGGGCCACATAAAATCCATACACACTCTGGGGCACGTTACTTCCTCACCATTGTAGATGACTTTACCCGTTTCACATGGGTTCATCTTATGCGATTTAAATCAGATACACAAACCTTGTTGCACTCGTTCTTTTCTTGGGTCAAAACCCAGTTTCATCGTGACATTAAAACCCTTCGTGCAGACAATGGGGGAGAATTTGTATCTATGCGTTCGTTTTTAGACACTCATGGCACCCTTTTTCAACACACCTGTGCACACACCCCTCAACAAAACGGGGTAGTTAAACGCAAACATCGCCATCTTTTGAACGTTGCCCATGCCTTACGATTTCAAGCTAACCTACCCTTAAAATTCTGGGGGGAGAGTATACAAACTGCATGTTGCCTTATCAATCGCCTTCCAGCACCCTTACTTTCCCACAAATCTCCCTATGAACTCTTGCATGGGACACTACCTACATACTCTCATCTCCGGGTTTTTGGGTGTTTATGCTATGCCACCAACCTTACCCCCTCCCACAAATTTGATGCTCGTGCTCGTCGCTGCCTCTTCCTGGGTTATCCCCTTGGCCAAAAGGGCTACCGTGTTTATGACCTTAATAGCAAACGCGTTCTTTCCTCTCGTGATGTCATCTTTCATGAGCATATTTTCCCCCTTGCTACCTCACCACCAGAAAAAGACCTCGACTTCCCTGTCTTACCTATCCCTCATGACGATCCCACTCCTGCACTCCTCTCAACTCAACCCCTTCCAACTCCTGACCTCCTTCCCATTGCCGATATCACTCCTTCACCCCCAAACATCCCTCCCTCGCCAGACATCCCTCCCTCGCCAGCATATGCTCCCTCACCTTCGCAACCTCCTTCTCTTCGCCGCTCCGACCGCATTAAACACCCACCTGCCCATCTTCGTGACTACCAGACACATCATGCTGCTTTGCTTCAGCGCAGCGTCATCCCTTCCACCATGTCCGGCACCCGATATCCCCTTCAACGGTATGTTTCTTACTCCCATCTCTCTCCTGTTCACTGCTCTTTTGTCCACAACATCTCTCACTTGGTTGAACCAGCCTCTTATGAGTAGGCCCGTCATGACCCTCACTGGCTTGCAGCCATAAACTCTGAGATTGAAGCCCTTGAAGCCAATCACACCTGGACTATGGTTCCCCTCCCTCTTCACCAACGACCCATTGGCTGTAAATGGGTCTTCAAAATCAAGTACCATTCCGATGGTACCATCGAACGCTACAAGGCCCGCCTTGTCGCCAAAGGGTTCACGCAGCGCCAAGGGATTGATTACAAAGAGACGTTTGCTCCAGTTGCTAAACTCATTATTGTCTGCTGTCTCTTGACTGTTGCTGCTGTTCGTAGCTGGTCTCTTCATCAAATGGATGTCCAAAATGTTTTCCTTCACGGTGCATTGCATGAAGAAGTCTATACGATACCGCCTCCTGGATATCGTCGACAAGGGGAGACCATGGTTTGTCGACTCCACAAATCGTTATACGGACTCAAGCAAGCTTCTCGCAGCTGGTTCCAACGTTTTTCATCTTCCATTCAAGAAATTGGCTTCCAACAGTCCCGTGCGGATTACTCGTTATTCACTCAGGTCTGTGGACAATCTATTACTGTGGTATTACTCTACGTTGATGACATGATCATTGCAGGAAATGATGAGGAAGCCATTAGTCGACTCAAAAAGTTTCTTAGTGGTTGTTTCCGAATTAAAGATCTCGGACCATTAAAATATTTTCTTGGTGTCGAAGTTGCACGGTCCAAGGCTGGGATCTCCATTTGCCAACGTAAATATACCTTAGATATATTGGAGGAAGCTGGTTTGCTTGGAGTAAGACCTGCCAAGGTACCCATGGAACCTGATTTAGTGTTGACAACAACGGGTAGTGATGCTCTCAAGGACCCGACTCGATATCGACATTTGGTTGGTAAACTGATCTATCTCACCATTACAAGGCCAGACGTTACGTATGCAGTAAATAATCTCAGTCAGTTTATGCAAGAACCCAAACTTCACCATCTTAAGGCAGCACATCGCCTTCTCCAATATCTGAAAGAAGCACCCGGACAAGGCTTAATGTTCTCTTCCCAAAGTGAATTACATTTAATCGGTTACTGTGATGCAGATTGGGCACGTTGCCCCATTACCCGTCGATCAGTGACGGGTTATTGTATCTTCCTTGGAAAGTCACTTGTGTCCTGGAAAAGCAAGAAACAAGTTACAATAGCTTGTTCCTCTGCTGAAGCGGAGTATCGATCCATGGCTGCAGCTACTTCTGAATTAAGTTGGCTGCGATATTTGTTGAAAGATTTACGTGTTGAGCATTCGTAACCGGCAAAGTTATTTTGTGACAACCAAGTGGCTTTACACATAGCTGCAAATCCTGTGTATCATGAACGCACAAAGCATATTGAGATCGATTGCCACACTGTTCGTGAGAGGGTTGAAAGGGGAGAAATTAAAACTTCCTATGTCGGAACGAGAGAACAAGTCGCAGACTTGTTTACTAAGCCACTGCGTGCGCCTATTTTTCAAACGCATCTAGGCAAGTTAGGCGTCATTGACATTCACGCTCCGACTTGAGGGGGAGTGTTAAAGATGCTCCACATGCAGTGCACTGTGCTTTACAGATTCCACTGTGCTTTACAGATTGGAATATGGTTCCCACGTTAAGGATGTATGATTATTCTAAACAACAAGGACACATGCATAGTGGATAGCAAGGGCACTGCATGTGTATACTGACTGATGTTTCATAGACAGCAAGGATGCCACTTCCAGTTGTTTTGTTTATTTGCATGCGTGTGTAGTAAACTGTGTATAAAACTCTGCTGCAATTGCAGCAGATCATTATTCAAAATATAGATTGGATCCAAGTTTAATAGGAATTAGGATATTAATATCGAATTAGAGTCTAATGCAACTTTGGTCGATATCCACTAAACATTTTCATCAGCCAATTAATTTCCTTCTTCCAAGTACGAATATTCATCAAGTCACTAAACACGTGCTTATAAATAGAGATTTGCAGAGAGGAGTGCTTCATACAGTTTTATCATCATGCTATCATCCAATTAAGCAACTCCTAAACCAAACCAAACAACTAAGTTGGAGCCAACCTAATTAAGCCAAGATGAAAAGTGTTCATTTTCATAAGCACTGTGGCCACATTGGCATTCGCAACCCTCCTTGTCTCTGCCTACGATCCCAGTCCTCTGCAGGACTTCTGCGTAGCAATTAATAACCCCCAATCTGGTATATATAATAATTATTAGTATATCATATTATTCATATACCATGTGTCTCCGTATTTATGTAATTTTATCTATTTTCTCTGTTAATTATACGTTTTTGCACGGCATAGTTTATATGCATGAAAATTTCATCTGCATGCATATACACATGTATAGACATGTAAAACTGATATATACATACGTATAAGAATCCATGTTATTTGTACTATTTATATCATCATTTTACTGGTCACGCCTCTAATAGACGTGTGTCCCATGGATGTAGATTACACATGTATAAGAGGGTTGGTCACTAAGAGCTTGTTTGGAAGTGCTTTTAGAATAAGTGAAAACGCTTTTGATAAAAATGTTTTTGAAACCAATTCTTGGTAAATATGCAAGCGAATCTTAGAAAAGCACTTCACATACTTCCTCCAAGAAACACATAATAAATACTTTCATTTCTTTGTAGTGCAAGCAGTGTTTGTGAATGGGAAATTCTGCAAGGACCCAAAGCTTGTCGCTGCAAATGATTTTTTCTTTACCGGCCTCCAAGTCCCGAAAAGCACAGCGAATCCAGTTGGTTCGACAGTGACAGCGGTGAACGTGGATAACCTAGCAGGACTGAACACTCTCGGCATATCCCTGGCTCGGATAGACTTTGCACCAAATGGCCTAAACCCTCCTCATACTCACCCTCGTGGCTCCGAAATTCTTGTAGTCTTGGAAGGTACACTCTACGTTGGCTTCGTCACGTCAAACGCCGATAATAATCGGCTAATCACCAAAGTGTTGAACAAGGGAGATGTGTTTGTGTTCCCGATTGGTCTCATTCACTTCCAACTCAATGTCGGATTCGGAAAAGCAGTAGCGACTGCTGGACTTAGCAGCCAAAACCCAGGAGTGATCACCATAGCAGATGCAGTGTTTGGATCCAAGCCTCCCATCAATCCTGATGTTCTAGCCAAGGCCTTCCAAGTGGACAACAAGCTGGTTGATTATCTTCAGAAACAGTATTGGTACGCCAACAATTGATAACGAAGAACTATCTGTGAAAATTAAGGAGGAAAAGGCCATTCGGAACGATCCATGTATGCTTGGTCGGATGTGCTAATTAAGTTGGCCAATATATAAATTGAATAAGATGGTTAATGCTTATGTATACCTAACCCTTTTGTGAATTTTGATATGATACGATATTATATATGGTATGTTCTGATGTGCGCTGTCTCTTAAATCTCTTTTAACTTTGACAAGTTAAGGAAATTCTTCCCATACCTCATATTTCAATGATTCGGAACAATTTATAGTTGGCTATACTTGCATTTTCCCCTTGGGTGATGGACTCGTTCCTCCACTTGCAAGTAATGTATATTTACCGTAAAAACCTTATAATTGGAACCGTTCAACTTTCTAATCTTCAAGTCTAGATTATCCTTGCAAAGTTTCATTTGAACATGAGATCGCTTAGTCATCCATATATATCAAATAAATGGGCAATTCATCATTAATATATTATACATACCTATATCGTTGATTCATATGATAAACTTAGGATTTATCAGTAGCTGTGAGAGGCCTTTGTACCATGGCAATGGCGGCTTACCACGTTATGAGCTTTATGCTCTACATTCTGGGAAGCATGAGTTTGTTGGAGTGAGTCCAAGGCTCCTTACGCGTCCTGCCGAAGGATGAAGAAATGCTGGAAATGGATGGAGTGTCCTAATCTCTCCTCTCTTACTTTCTCCTACTATTGTCCTACATCACCTCCAAAAATGCAAGCTCCAAGTAGCATTTGTGCTCCTTGGTCCCATTTAAATACCCTTGAGCTCCCAAGAGCATAACCAATACAATTTCGGAGTTCGGAGAATCACACTGCATCAACAAAGGGATTAATCGAACTCCCAATACATTCAGGAATCTGACCTCAAACAAGCGCTAAGGGCTCAAGTTCCTTGACTTCAATCCAAAATTAAAAATTCCAGCCTTGCTACAATTCAAGTATCGTGAGAACAGTAAGCAAGCAACCTGGTCAGCTGCTCACAACAGTTGCGGTTTCCTGCAAAGTAAACAGCAAGGGTCATTGTCCAGAAGCTCCACAGAAGCGGAGTACAAAGCTTTGAATACGGCTCATTTTAAAAGATTGACATCAGTTTTATCTGCCCCTTCAACTCGTTGTTATGATAATCTGTCCACTATTGCTCTCAGCTTGAAAGACTGCAGAAATTAGAAGATAACACTAATATTGAAGATCAAAGAACTGGCTTTGTGCCTGAATATTCCCAAACCAATAAAATTGGCTTTGTGCCTAAAACTTCAACTTAGAGAGACAGCTATCGTGCCTTAAGAAGTATCAAATCAGAACTGGCTTCGTGCCAAATAACATTTCTACAATTTCAATCAAAGAGGCTTCGTGCCAAACTAATCAACAATCATTCTTCTAAACAAAAATTCCACCATAACCCAATTCACCAAATGAGCACAAAAGAGACAAGAAAATCTCAGAGAAAAACATAACCTCAGGAAAAGATCTTGACTTATACATTGGATCAAATAGGTGGGATGCACGAACACCAGAACGAAACTCTGCAGACAAAGTCGCAATCTTGAACCCAGATGAGTACACCGAAGAATAGAGATCAAACGGCGTTAGCCATTTCTGGTTCGTGATACCATCATAACAACAATGGTGTGGTGATCATGATGTTTGACAATAAATGCAGAAATGAAGAAACGGAGAGAGAAAGGAAGAAGAAAGAATCGGTATATCTTGAATATTCCCAATAGAATGAACCGTAGAGTTTTAGTGGTGCATCCCACTATTTATACAACTGAGAATTACTTAGCTCCCAAGACGCTTAGGTAACATACAAAACAGACTAGCAAACCAAACTAACCTTCTAACGAGCTCCATAAACTGACCTAACCAACAATGCTCATCTAAGTGTAAATCTCTACTGTGCATGTCTTGATAGGATAATGCATTATGAAGTGACTTGTCAAGCTGTTAAACTGAAACCCCAGAATTTTAAAATTCAGCACAATTACTCGTACAATATGATGAACTTTTGATAGAAAAGAAATCAACTGTGCGTCTCGGTGAGCAGAAACTTCCCTAAATTATATTACTTAGCTCTTCTTTTTTCATATCCTTCTTGCTTAGAATAATGTGTCAAATAGATACATCTAGATCAGTCACAAGCTAGTTATGGTACAAAATGGTAAAAAGAAGAGAGAAGTAAACTGCATAGAGACACACATACAAATATTTACTGCCATACCAGCGATAAAAGACCAAACAAAAGTATCAAATAACACCATTGTGATGTTATAAGAAAGTTTCCCATTATTACCTGTATCAAAGATGGTGAAGTTCAAATCGTAGTTTCAGTGCAAACACTAAAACAAGCACACTAACTCGGAATGTTTTCATTCATTCTTCTACTTAGCGACATAACTTCATCCTGAATCATAATCAAGTGCACGATACTTTAACAAGAAGAAGAAGAAGAAAAGTATTCTTGTCCTTGTATTTTTTCTTTTTCGGCTGCTATGTATTCACCATGCAAGTAATTAGTGAGACTGGATACATAGTGAATAAAGCAATTCTAACGCATTAGTTGGAACATTAAATTCTATTGATTTGTATCAAGAAATTCATTTAACATAATAAATTCTACGAATTTCAAAGCTAATACAACATTGGGATTCATTAATCGATAAACACCAACCTCTACTTGACATCAAAAGCTCTGATATTTGCGTTGAACCCCATCAAGGAAATGCAGTGAGCGTGGCCTCAAAAACGAAACCGCGGGAAAGCCCGTCGCCACTTCCGGGAACCCCATCAATCCACCGCCACTCGGCTTTCCCGGAACAACGGTCCCACAAAGCCAATCTCCCAATTCTCTTTGCCGAAAAACAAACCTTATCGCCGCCACCAAACACCTTGAACTTGCTCGACTCTTGAAAGCACCTGAACATCTCCACCGGCATTCGGCCCGCCTCGTCCCACTCCAAGCTATCCAAGTCCAGCCGCAGAATCAAAATCGTCGAACACGAAGCGTTGAGCGAGAAAGAAGACTTCAACCCACCAACCATCAGCACCTTGTTTCCATTCCCCCGAACCAAACGGGGTCGCTTCAGGATGTCGAAGACGTCCCCCCACTCGTGCTTTTCGAGCCGAGTCCACGTCTGCGAGGTCTTAAGCTTCGAAATTGTGCAATGGAACAGCTTCCATTGACACCGCCACGGCGAACCCACATCGCACAGGGCGTAAACCGAGTCGAACACCAAAATTGGGCTTCTGGGTTTTGAAGGGAGGTTCGATGAGAACTTGAGCCACTGGTTCGAACCGGAGAAGTAGAGCGCAGCAAGCTCAGTGAGGACCATGACTCGGGTTTGGGAGTCAACGAGGACCGAGCCGTGGCGCGACCAGGCTGAGCCGAGCTGAGGGAGGACTCGGAACTGGCGAGTCAGAGGGTTGCAGACGACGAGTGACTTGGTTGACTCGGGCGGGTCGGGCGAGTCGCCCCAGAGGTAGACGAGGCCGAGTGAGGAGGCGACGGGGTGTGGGGAGCGGAAGGGGAGGAAATCGAGGGGGAATCTGAGCCATTGGTTGAGGTCGGGGTCGAAGACGTGGAGGCAGGATGGGGAGGACAGGTGCCGGTGGTGGGGAGGGCGGAGGGCGAGGAGGTTGAGGGGCGGAGATTGGGTGGAGATGAGGTGGAGGAAGGAGGGTGAGGTGAGGAGTTGCTTGAAGAACTTGGAGAGTGAGCGGCAGATCATGATCTGACGGAGGGGAAGGCTCGAGAAGATCTGGTGGAGCGTGTCCTGCGGGAGAGCGTCCATGGCTTTTTGCGGTGGGCTGCCGGAGAACTGGACAAGAGGAAATGCAGAGATCGAAGACTCACAGTGAGACAGAGAGAAACGCAGTTGAATCAAATCGTGGATTGTGCGCTGCGTGGAAAAAAGACGCCAGTATTGGTTGTTGTAATAAGAGACTTGTTTTATTAAAAAAATAAAATAAAATTAAATAAGAGACTTGCTAGTGTTTTGTGCAAAACACAAAAAATAAATAAATAACTAAAAATAGATTTTTATTTAAAATTGTTTTTTTTTGTCAAACGATAGATTTTGTTAAATTAGATGTTAGTTTAGTTACTGATGGGTTTGAACCCACGCTATCATGCAAGGAATGAACACCCTTCCAACTCTTTATTTTAGTCTTTGAGGTTTAAAATCGATAGATGTGGTTCATGAGATTGTACACTATCAATCATTTTGGTCATTTTGTGATAAATCTCCGTTAAATTGATAATATTTTTGTCAAATCAACCTCTCCTCTTGAACTGATGGTTTCTTCAATCTAAATGAGACTTTTCACAAAATGACTAAAATGATTGACGGTGAATAATTCTAGGGACCGCTTCTATCATTTTTAAATCTCAGTGATCAAACTGAGGAGTTATAACAATCTTAGAGATTATTTTGGCTAAATAACTTTACTTTCACAGAGTGTGGAGTTATAATGAAGAATGTTTTCATCTTCAACTCATTATGTTTTAGGTTTGAAATTATTTTGAGAAAGCAAAGGATTAAAGCAAAGGAAATATTTTTGCTCACCACTTTAAAGTAAAGGTGATACTCACTACCCTAAAATGACGGTGATGCTCACAATCTCATTGATTATCGTTGGATGAGTTTGATTTAATATATCTAGTACACAAATCTTAAAACTTAAATTAATCCAACAATTTTTAATGGAATGGGGAGCAAATATGCACTCATGCATAAGGAATTCCTTAAGCCATTTTGAAGTTGAACATTATTAAACCAAATACTTTAAGAATGAAGAGTGCTAAAACATCTGCTACAAAGTTGGAGGTTCGAACCTGCATATTTTAATTAGTAAAGTTTGGAGGAGTAGTAGTTATTTAGTACTACGGTCTAGTAATATTCATCTTCACTTGTAATTACGAGGTCTTATGTTCAAATCTCGAAAATGGGGAGTTCCCCACCAATTTATTCATGCACCTCTTTTGTGTAATATATTAATGTATAATAAAAAAAGTTTGGAGTAATAATATTATTTTGGTTGAATTTAACATTAGTCAATTTAATTTCCGTTCCTAAACTCTGATAATTGTTGCTCATGTTCTTGAATTATGTCATGTATTTTATTTTATTTTTATTCCACTTCTTCGAAGTATTGTTCTTATATTTGGTTTGAAACTTTTGGGGGCCGATCGACATGGTTAAGGATGGACAACAGTTATGGCAGACGGGTAACCGCGGTTATTTACCCATAACCATTTATATTCATACCCGCATAACTATTTGGGTAATTGTATAAACAGTTATATTCATACCCATAACCGTTTATAAACAGTTAACCATACCCATAACCGTGTACCCATTTAACCATAACCGTTTACCCATTTAATCATAACCATTTACCCGTTTACCCTTTTTAAACTCGTTTATCCTTTTTTTTTTACCCATTTTTCACCCTTCTACTGTTTTTTTTTTTTTTCAACAACTTGAAAATTACAAAAGAAAAATTTGTCATAATTTTCGTTTTCTGACAATTAAACACCATTATAGGTACATTTTAGCATGCATTTCCCTATTTTAATCATTTAAGTCCTCATACAATTCCAATAATTGAAATAATAGTTTATGAACGATATTTTTCTGCTACACCAAAGCAAGTCTTTAATTATAATCCATATGATAATAAAGTAAAGCTTCTAAAGACAAAAAGTAGTCATTATCTTAAATACTAGATGATTCAAAGCTCCAAAATATTCTGAAACTAAACACTTTCGAACACTAATGTTTTAGCACGTTCAATCACAAAGTCTCATCGACTCGTTGTCACCAAAATAGGCCTACAAAGAAATGTATAAATTGAATTAGTATCCCATTTAGGAACACCAACACCAATTAGCATGAATCCAACAAAGGTAAGTGATCACAGAAGGTTTACATTGTACAGTCAGTTATCAGGAAAAAAAAACAAAAGCAAACAAAAGCGGAGTACCAAATCAATTGAGTTAGTATCACCATTCATCAATATGCATAAACAGAATGTTTACATTCCATGACTTTTCACACACCCATATGCATAAATTGAATTAGTATCACCAATAACTCTAAAGTAAAAAACAAAAATAAAGATTAGTTTTTACCACATTCACATCAATATCATCACTGAATGAGGAATCTTCAACACGAGGAGTAGAGTTTGAATGTGATTCAATAGTAAAAATTAAAATTAGGCTAAAATAGTAAATTTTTGAACATATACATAATTTATATGAAATTTTACAATAAGTACCTCGTATTTGACTCCACAACCAGTCTCGAGAACACATGAGTGCTTCCATCGTGCTTGAATGAAGTCGGCTACGGTGTGGACTGATAATCCTACCACGTACTAATGAAGACTCTGAAGCTACTGTAGATACATGAATAGCCAAAATATCTCGAAATATATAATGCAAAATAGGATATTTAATCCCATTTGTCTTCCACCACGACAATATATCAAAATCTTGAGTCCTAGGAAAGACTTTCTCCCCCAAATATAGGTCTAAGTCAGATTGTTCATTACCGATGGTAGAATCCATACAAACTGGTCATAAGATGTTAAAGGATCACCAACTCTGAAATCACATGACTGTGATGGAAAATCAGTCGAAGAAGAAGATTCAGAAGACCGAAGCCCAGGTCTATGCTTCAGTTCATACTCATTGACCAACAACGCATATGAAATAATTCTCCGTTTAACTCAAGTGAAAGCTTGCAATATGTCACTATATCCTAAATCATGGCATCATTTGTAGAGTAGTTATCTACCGTGAGAGCAGACAATTTACCAATCAATATTCCACTCTGATAAGCAATCTATCATTATAGTGGAAAGTGTCCCGGCATTATGTGGGCATGGAACATATGCAAACCTAATATAAAACACCACTTAATTACCATAACTCAGAGTAACATGATGTGCTAGGCAATAAATCCAACCCTAAAATTTAATACACAGAAGCAAAATCTCTTCCATCAGTAAACAAGACATATTCCAGATTTTAAGCATTTAGTTTATAAGTTTCTACTGGAATAAATGAGCAAAGATACATTTTTAAATTCGAAACACTCATTTAAAGTCTTCCTCCAACGACTCAGAGCAAAGCATTAACTAAAATTGGAAGTCCTTATCTTCCTCCAACGAGTATGAGCTTTCAAATACACAACAAGCACATGTAACAAGTCATTTCTCAAACTGGCTATATTTTACGATTATTCGGCTATATTTCTCAAATTGGAAAAAGGAAACAGAAAGTGACAAGTCATTTTTCAAATACACAACAAGCACATGTAAAAAGGAAACAGAAAGTGAAGATCTAGCATAAAATAAACTATAGGGTAAAGTACAAAAAATTACTTCAAGTGTCAAGACGCTTTCATATCTTATCTTTTAAAATTGACAATGTCATACCTCATCTTTAGAATTTGGTCCAATGTTATATTTTCCGTTACTTGGTCGTTTACTTTTCAGTTAAATGCTGACGTGGCTTGATTCGGGGTCCCACTTTCTATTAAAAAAATCGTTAAAATATTACTAAAAGTTAAAAAAAAATTATTTAATATTTTTTAAATATTAAAATAATAATAAAAAGTAAAAAAAAAAAAAAAAAACCCTCAGTTCGTCCCTCCCCTCCCCCTCCCCCCCTCCTCCCTCCTCCCTCCTCCCTCCTCCCTCCTCTCCCCATCTTCATCTTCTTCCCCCCACTTGAAAACCCCAAAAAAAAAAAAAAAAATTTCTAATTTGTCTTCCCCCGCACCCACCCTCAGTTTTCCCCCTCCCCACCCGCTCTTCTCCCTACTACAACCCAAAAAAAAAAAAAAAAAAAAAAAAACCCATATCCCGTCGACGGGAAGATGGGTGCATAGAGAAGGTGGAGGATGGGTGTGGAAGAGGATGTGGAGAATGGATGAGAGTGGTGGATTTGGGGTTGGCAAGGGGTTGGGTTGAGGGGGGAGACAAAATGGGTTCACTTTGTTTTTTTTTTTTTTCTTTTTCTTCTTTTTCTTCTTCTTTCTGGGTTGCAGGGGTACGCGAACTAGGTTGGGTTGAGTTTTTTTTTTTTTTTTTTGGGTTTTATTCTTATTCCTCCTCTTCTTTCGGGTTGCAGGGGGTTGGATTGTTTTTTGTACAAAAGCGTGAAGACAAAGCTGCCAACTGCTATGGGTGTCTAGTTGATGAGTTTTGTAAGTCTTTATGTATTCCTTCTTTCTAAGTGCTTCCTGGCTTGGTAGCCCGAGGATTTTCCTAGTGGTGGGTTTTGCTTCGTTAAATCCTACATCATGTGTGTGTTCTTTATATTTATGTTGAATATTTGTGTAGGATTAAGTTTGCATAACTATTAATTTGAACTATAATTTGGATTAGTTTTAAGTAGAAAGTTAATTTATATCTCTAGGTTAGATTAGTACCCATCCTAGGACTTTCAATTAGCACCAGAGCAGGTCACTAAAAATACCTAGTGTGATCCGTGGGTAGTCTAGGATGAATCGGGCTATGGGTTCAGTTTCTCATCCACCACATTTTGATGGAGACAACCACGCTGCATGGAAGGCAAAGATGAAATCATTTCTCTGGGCGCTTAACGACAGAGTGTGGCTTGCGGTTGAAGAAGGCTGGGAACCTCCAACAGTTAGTGAAACAAAAGGCGAACGACAATCTTTTGTAACTATTTCTATGCTTAAGCCTAGAAGACAATGGAGCAAAGATGAACGCAGTATTAGCACATTCAATCAAAGAGCATTGAATGCGTTGTTCACTGCCGTTTCACCTGAGTAATTTAACTACATCAGTAAATGCACAATGGCAAAATAAGCTTGGGATATTCTTGAAGTTAC